ATGTTGCACATGTTAGCAACTTATGATACGAGTTGGCCATATAATGCACATGTAGGAAACTTGTCTTGCAAGTTAGACATGTATCAATAGTCTTAAAGAATGTTGCCATGTAGCTCTTAGTTAGATAATATATGTGGAAACAAGAGCAAAGTCTTCTTTTCTCTTGTCAATGCCTTTCTAATCTTTAATCTTGTCTTAAAAGTCTTTGGTTCTCTTGTCTTTGGCAATAGCCATTCTCGTTTAATTTTATATCATTTTTAAAAGATTATCTATTCTTTTCTAATGACAAAAGAATGCATGGACATTTTGGTTCTTTATGGTTCATATCCTTGAGGGTTACTTATAAATCACGAAAATTAAATATTTCATTATATTTACAATAATTCAAAGAATGTGCTAATCTACTATATTTAAAAAAATTGTGATTAATATAAACTACCAAAATACAAGCGTGCAAATCATAATGACACCAATATAGAGGTGAAGTAAGAATTTCACTTATTTATCTCCGTCAAGTATATTATGATTAATCTATGGTTCTAAATTAGTTGGGATTAAAATCAATAGAAGTAAATTTTATTTATTTAATTAAGCTTATATTACCATTGTATCCAATTATTAATTAAAAATAAATTTAAATTTAATTAAATTTAATTTTTTATAAGAATAATTTGAAGAATTTTAAATAATGTAAGATATAAAATATGCTATTTTTTTTTCAATCTTAAAATATTGCTTTTAAATTCTTCTTTTATTTAGATGTTTTATAAAAGTCAACTATATAAGTATATTATAAACTATAAAGTATTTTAATAGTAATTAAATTTCACTCATATTCCATAACATCTTATATATATATATATATATATATATATATATATATATATAATTTTTATTATAAATTATTCAATTAAATTTTTTTCTTATAAAAATTCTACTCAAATTATTTTAAATAAACACTATCATATCTTTGATCATAATTATGCATATATTAAATGTAAATTTTTATATTCTAAAAATAATAGAAAATTCAATAAAAAAATAAAAAAAATAAAAAAAATATATGTAAATTTTTTAAGAACATAATGCATTAAAAAATAAAAAAGAGTTATAAATTTAATGATTATATTGGCAAATTTAGAATTAAAAATAATTTTTTTATATAATTTTTTTTATAATCATTGAAAATTTATTAGAATTAAAAATGATATTTTTATATAATTTATATATATATATATATATATATATAGATATAGATGTGTGTGTGTGTGTATGTGTATGTGTGTGTATATATATATATATATATATATATATATAGATGAGTGTGTGTGTGTGTGTATGTGTGTGTATATATATATATATATATAGATGAGTGTATGTGTGTGTGTGTGTGTGTATGTGTATATATATATATATATATATATAAACATATTCAATCTAGTTAATAATCTAAAAAATTAAAACTATTTATTTTTGAATCAATTACACACACACATATATATATAAGTAAATTTACAAAAATAAATATAAAAATTATAGTTTATTTGTAAAAAATCTAATTTCAACTAATTTTTTTTAAAAAAAGTGTTTATTTCATACTTGTGAAAAATATATTGATATCAATAAAAATAAGAGAAATTAGGCAAAAAATCATTAGAAATGAGTAATAATAAGTAAATTTGATAATATTTTGTATAGAATCTCTATAAGCAAGGATTTGTCTTTTCAAGTATTTATAAGTAATTTGTAGGTTAAAAATTGGGCCAAGAAGTTAGTTAAATGTTGTACATATTAGAAACTTATTTTGCAAGTTAGACACATATTGGATGATGAATCAAAAAAATTTATAAAGTTTATTAATTAAATAATATATATAAAAATAAATTGAGGTCTTCTTCTTTCTTTTTAATTTAATTTTTTTTTTTTTTACTTTATATTTCGAATCTCTAAATTATTTTTAATTAATAATTGTTATAAAAATTTCTATCTTTTGTCTATCTTGTTTGCTATCTCTCTTTGAATGTCACAATAGTTGTTAACTTCTTTAGAATTTTATTATGATTAATGCCCTTAACTATTTGAAAAGAGTACTAATTTATTGTATTTCTTTTATTTTAGAATATTTTACAAACTTTATATCTTGAAAAGTTTATAAAATATATACTTTTCATCAAAGACATTAATCATAATAAATTTATAAAAAAACAATTCACTCTTTTGACATTCAAGAAGACAAAGTAGACAAATTTAAAATAGATATAAGATAGAAACTAAAATAATTATTGCCTAATACAAAGAAATTAAATATTCTTGAATTAAGTCATGAATAAAAGAAAGATATTGACTAGAGTGAGAAAGGCCTTATTCTTACCTCCATACATACTATCTAATTTAGGAGTTATATGATAGTGTTTTATATGTTATCCAATATATATCTAACTTGTAAGGTAAGTTTTTGACATGTCTATAAAATGGTCAACTTAAACTACAAGTGGCTAACATATTCAACATGGGGTCAACTTATAAAACAAATGGTCAATATGTGAAATATGTGGCCAATTTATTGGCTAAGTTTTGAACCTATTTATCTCCTAAAAAAAATTGTAAAGTCAATTTTATATGTACAAAACTACTAAGAAGCTTCTCTTTAAGATATCATTAAATTTATGTACTTTTACTTCTATCTAAATTTTTTTATCCTTCTAATTATTAATGCCAACTTTGATGTCCATGTCATTATTTCTTCTAGAGACAAGTTCTATAAGGAGCAATGATTATATGTTGAAGAAGTCTAAAATACAATAAATTATACTAGCCACATTTTGTGATCTTTGTTTTCTTTTAAGGTAAGTGATAGATCCTCTCAACTACTGATAGTATTTCATATTAAAGTGAGAATATCTGCTTGTTATTTGATCTTTGTTGAGACCTTTATAACTTCTTAATAAACAATAGTTATTAAATCAAATTTTTTGGTTATTCATTTTTCATCTTATTAGTACCAAAAATATAAATAAACCATAAAAAAAAGACAGAAAATAAAATGAAATCTTTATTAAACATGTTTTACTTTATAATAAAGAATTTCTTAGTACTTTATCTTAATTTTGTTAGATATTGCTCATGAAAAGCATCAATCCTCTATGCCTTACTTGCAAGATTTTTCAATAGCTTTCATGTGTATCTACTAATATTACATATGTTCTAATGTATAAGATATTTCAATCTATTTTAGGAAAGCATTGAGTCTAAAACCTCTTCTATTTCAAACTCTTGAATTTTGTTTACTTCTCTAAGAGGGTGTTGTATTTGTCTTCTTTTAAATATATTCAATGTCTTATATAATTCAAAAAAAAATACACTATAGATCTTTACAAACTTAGGTAACTATAATCAATATACAACTAAATTGATCTATTCACAATAAAAAATAGTATCTAAATAAAATATCTAATAAGCTATAATTTATTTTAAAGATAAATTAATATAATATAATATTGAATAAAAATTATAACTATGACATTTTTTAATGAATTTTATATCAATTTAAGATGATATTACTATGATATGGTTTAATAAAATATTTAATTTTTTATTAATGTAAACTAAAATTAGAATAATGGTTTGTTTGAGATAATAATTTTATTTTTATAATATATCAGCAAGTATAAGATATGTTGTTTTTTGTAAATATTATCATTAATCTTAATTATTGAAGTTTTTTATTAAAATAAATTCAAATAAAATCATTAATTTTTTCCTTATTATTGTATTGAAATAATGATTTTGTTTAATAATCATTAATTTAGTATAAAATTAGCTTATAAAGAGAAATTTAAATAACAAAAGAGATTTAAAAGCACTATTCAAGATTTTAAAAATTATTTTTTATTTTTTTATTTTTTATATAAATATTTTAAAAAATATATTAAAAAAAAATATTTTTATTGTATTCAATAATATTACACTTTTTTAAAGTATATTTTATACTTTCTTATAGTATAATTTTATACTATCATGTAAAATAATTTATTCTAAAAATTTAATTTGGTATGTAAATTTTTATTATTGATATTTATAATATTTAATAAATTTTTATTTTAAAATTAAATAATTTATTTTTAGATAATAAATAAAATAAAAATTTATAATTTATAATTTTGATTATTGATTAATATTTTGTTTAATTCTTTTTATAAGAAGTCTTTTATTTTGAAAAAAATTAAATATCTTAATTTGATATATAGGTTAAGTTTAATCATATAAACAAAACAATGGTTTTCAATTTCTTATATTTTTTAAGCCTTAGTAAGAGCTACATGCCTTAATTCATATATAATATAATTTTGTAAAAGACATACATTTTCATCTAAAGTTTCTTTTAGTTTTTTCTTAGGATTTAAAGATTAAGAAAGAGTAAGATACAAAAGAAAAAGTATTGTACCTATGGTAAAAGATTCTATCTTTCTTCATATTGAGAATTTATTAAATCCTAGAATGATGTGGATGAAGCTTAGAGACTTGTATCAATCAAATTCTTTGAATCATAGACTATCTCTTAAATCTCAACTCTACAACTTGAGAATAATAAACAAAATTAGTATTGGGCAACATCTCATGATTATCAATAACTTGATTGAATAACTTGCAAACAGTATGATACAAAAGAAAAAGTAAGATACAAAAGAAAGAGTAAGATACAAAAGAAAAACGCGTAAGATACAAAAGAAAGAGTAAGATACAAAAGAAAAACGCGTAAGATATTTCGTAAAGATCTATCAAAAAGAAAAAGAAAGAGTAAGATACAAAAGAAAAACGCGTTTTGTACACAATTAAATGCCTAAGTATAACTACAGTAATCTGCCCAGCCAATCAGGTGGTGTCTATCAGTAACGGATGGCTATAGATGACCTCTGTAAGTAGGACGAGAGTGTCAACAAAGATTAGTCTTCATTAGTAAGGAGGGATAAAGCAGATAGATACATGAGGTATGCTTTCGATTGATCCAAAAAGTAATTCAATGAAGAGCAGGTAGAATTTCTTACAATATACTATTTATTCAAATGAATACCCTGGTAAGAGAACTGAAGCTTGCTTTATTAGTCTACAATAGTTCCCATGAGAATCTCTTCTAGACTCCACGTATCTTTCAATATCTGTAAGTATGGTATGAGCACCAACTCGTGGAACTCAATGATGAATGGATTATTTCTTGCAGAAATATTGTGCCTGCCTAAAACAAACTTTTGTATAATTTTCCAAGCAACTTGGAAGTAAAGCATGAGTAGCATAGAAGTTGAGGCTTTTATGTTACATTGTAATAAGAGAATTAAAAAAAAAGTCTATTTGTGCATCAAGAAACGGTAGAGGGAGCTCTGAAGTATCCGTGGAATTAGTTCTGTCACCGCTCCTTCTGCAAAGTTTTCTTCGAAAACTGAGGTGACATTGGTTTGGTAGGTTCTTTTGTGGACCTGCGGGAACAAACACAAACACAGTTGATTAATGAGTTTTTTCAAGGAACAACACCATCCCACAAGGAACCTATCAGAAAAGATCAATATATGTTCCAGAGAGATTCAGTCAACTCTATCAATATCATGGTTCTGAAATGTTTTTAAGGCAATATGTGATGCTCAGTTTGAACTGCCCTTATTACGAACTACCAATTGTACACCTTATTGTATAACTTTTCGATGTTACCAGGAAACCGCAGTCACTAGACATAACATGCATCGTAGTCCCTCATAATCTACTTGCTCAAAAGCATGATGTAGCCTGAGATAAAACGTTCAAATCAATCCAGTAAGTCCTCTCAACATACTCTCAAGGGATCAGAGAGGTCATGGATCTTAATACAAAGAGTTGATTATCCTGTACCGAAGTGGTAGGCGTGGTCGAGGAAATGCTGGCATTGGACGAGCTGTAGGTATCATTTCCTTTCTCATAGCCTTCAAAAACCTCTCCTCTTCTGCCTGTGACAGAAAAACTCCAGCTTGGATGAGTTAAAGGTGTGATACAATAACCTTCTGGCATAAGTAAGAAGGATATGTGTGTATGTGTGTGTATACATACATACATACATATATGGGAAAGAACATAACACATTGATTATTCAATACTATAATGAAATTAGAAATGATTTTTCAAGATATCAAAAGTTGTCTGCATGCCTCGATGGTCAGAACGGTTATCATGGAGTGAATGTAAGTTAACAGAGAAAACCACTAATATGAAATGAAAATTACCTTTTTGGCAGCTTCGTACATTTCACGATAGCGCTTGTACTGCATCTGCTTCTCCACCACCTATCAGGTGCAGACAATGTAAAGGGATTTTAATGCTGATGGCTGTATGTACCACATGGAAGCTTTACATACCTATAGCAGGTACTTAGAAAGTTGTGCTGTAACGGACTTCATTAAAACATCTTTCATAGCACACTCCTTAATAAATTGTATCCACACATTGAAATTATATAAGTTATGTAGGTTAACAACATCCCATTCCCTTAACATCCTAAATATTGTGTGAAGTTTAGCATTGGGTAGTCGGAGTCAATCAAATTTCCCTGCAATCTGTACAGCTAGTTTGTTAGTCTAGTCCGTACACGACACCAAAATGCACATGCCACTTTGAAACCTACAGTGCAAAAATCAACTACCAGGAAAATGTTGAAGTACTACCTTTTTATCGAATTCTCCTCTCTCAACAGCACGTTGATCAACAAGGAGATTAAATTCATCAATAGTAGTGAGCGCTTTTCTTGGAATTTCTGGCAAAACAGCTGGTACTCTGCAATAAAATCGAAGTACACATGATCCCTCAAAATGATAGTACCAATAACTGAAAATTAAGATCTAACATGGCCACATGAGTCAAGTCTACGGAGTTTTACGAATGGAAAGCATTGATCATAACAATTTAAAGCAACAAAATGTTGGCGTACGCAAATGATGGTTCCATGAAACTACTGATTATCTTGTACTTGTAAGATGTTTAAGATGGAATGGTACCGCTAAATTAGCAGAAAATAGGTTCACACGATCTTAGTGTTCACTTCCAACTCTCATACTATGCAGTTCGAGAAAGACAAAAAAAGTTTACTAAAACTAATGACATTGTCTTAGATTTCGGAAAGAATCTGAAGTTCACATGTAGAATACTTCAGAAAAGATGAGAGAAAGTAAATAATATGCACAGGAACGAACTTGGAGAGGTTGGGTTGCGCATGAAATTCTCTTAGCGCAGCGTTGAGTTGTTCAGCTTGGATGCGTTCTTGTGCTAGCCGTTCTTGCTCCTGTTCGTGAAGCAACAAACTTTCCAAATAGAAAGGCTCCGGCTTCGTGCATTCTTTGGGAACTGGCTTAGGAGGTATCTGGAACAAATAAATATAGGGTATCACCTGCTGATGTAAGTACCGTGGTATCTGCGTTGCACTAATCTCTAAACAACGATAGGGCGCCTAACAGTCCAAGGAATTCGAAGTTAAGTAACAGATGTACTCAATCGCATCTATCTTAGACAAACCTAACGTTAGATAGGAACTTCAGGATGACTAAATCCAAAAACATCGAAAGTGCAAGCTTCTAATATATGCTTACATCTGGGATCTCAGTGGTCAAAGGTAGAGGGTTCGCTATCGGTATTCGAGCCTTGGATTCATCCTGCTGTTGTCGAATTCTCTCCTGAATTTCCCTCATTCCCTTTGCAAGTCCACGGTCCTATTGTAGAAACAATAAAATTATATCAGATATAAAAGCCTGGAATATTATGTGTCAAAAATTTCGAATGAATAAAGTACATGCAGACACATTATATCATCATGATGAGAGATAAAATCTACAATATGAATAGCAGTACATATAGTACCTGAGAAATGGACGACAGAAAAGCTCATTGCATTGCAATATATGAAAATGAAAACAATGCTTACATCGGTAGCCAGATGAAAGGGTTTTGGTATTGTCGGTCGTAATGGTTTTTCGCCCTTGCTTGGCTTGGTTATCGCAAGCTAACCATGCACATCAGAGTGGAACAAACAATAAGCACCATCATTAACAATTCTAAGTTCTAAAAAACATGGCGACATTGAGTGTTGCGCTGGCCTACATCGGTTCATTGGTTTGTTCTTACCTTCTGTACTTGATCCGCCAATAAGTCTGGATCACGTGAGTGGGCACGTTCGTCGGTCTTCAAGTGAAACTCCTACAATGAACAAACGTATCGAACTCCATTTAGAACTTTAACTCAACAACACAAGAAATAGAAATAGCCACCACAAATTAGTAATTTTGTCAAAGGACACTCACTTGTGGCGTGGTAACCTCTCTTTTCTGGTTCCTATGAACACCAAGGTCACCCTTGCTCTCAAAAATCTGCAAACAAAAGATCACAGATTGGGTTGGAGAGACACGAATTGCATGGTGCGTCCTTGTTGGATAGATGTCAATAACCATATTCAAGGTTCTAATCTACTGCTTCATCATTACTAATCTAAATCCCGTTTGATCACCACATTTCAGTGCACAGCAGCAACCAATTCATTGATACAACATCGCCAGATATCAGAAACAGAGCATCGAGATGTCACCATCTTGTTTAATGGACGGGCTTTGAACTTCGGCATGTTCGCAAGCTCCTCTTCTTCTAGCTCTTTCGAACTCTTCACCCTACGAATGGTGCCAGTTTCAAAAGCGTTCATTGGAAGAACAAGCATTGCTTATATGTAGAACTAAACGAATCAATATTAAATACGAGATCCGAACTTAAAGCCAACTCATAGAGCTACGAATTGCTAGCAGATGCAACCAAAATTGAGGATTTTCAGACGTACGTAGAAGGGCGAACACGGCTAGCTGTTTGAAGCTGCGGCGGACGCATTTTTGAAAAGTCTTTTGGTTTTGACACATTCTCCTGAATATGATTACACTCATTGTAAGCATACCATCGCAAGTAACGAAACTTTGAACAAAAGATTCGTGGATATTGTTGGAAACACCAGAATCAGATGTCACTCTCATAGCAGACTAAGTTAAAACACACACCGAAGTACAGACAGAATCTATAGATGAGGAACTCGCTGAGCTTGCATGATGCTGAGCTCGTTCCATGGTGTGTAGGTGGAACTCCTGTGGACGAAAACAATCAATTATAAGCCATCGACATTAAAATGAAAGCAGTTAACCAGATAGAAAAGAGCACAAGTAGATTGACTACTGTTGCATTTCTAACAATCATTTTGATACTGGAAAGACGACTCGCCAGTCTGACTTTCGTTGCCTTCGAAAGAGTATCTATCAGGTAATCAAGCTGGTAATGAGACAATGTCAAGAGCTCAAAATCCATCATGTAAATCTGATAGAAAGTCACCTGAAACTCTGGTACGTGCGGAATGGATTTAGAAAAAGTGGGTAACACAGGCGCTTCAAGAATCTGCGCCCAACATAATCACTCAGAAGTAGCCGGTTTAAGAAGCAACAGACTAATATATGTATCACAAGTCTCTCCCCGTATCATCTGATTGGTTAACAATCTATAGTTTGATATACATTCGCAGTGGAACTGGCAGTTTAATCGGGATTATCAACTTAGAGAAGGTCTTGAATTGCCTACGAATTGTAAAAACTTGGACCTTGAGATTGCAAAACAGAAGTTTTTTTTTTTTTTTTTTTTTTTTGAACATATTCCCTCACATATGGCCATTGGTTTCCTGACGGCAGACACCAAAGATTACACAATTTGGGATAGTTACCTTCTTTGGTACTGGGCGAGCCTTGAACTTCGGCATCCTAGCGAGCATTTCCTCTTCAAGTTCTGCTGCACTTTTCACCCTGTTGGGCATATCTTATCACGTCAACTTCCACGCAGAAAACCACTCGATGTCGCCAAATATCATTTGTTATGCAAAGACTTGATCTAGAATGAAAACAGAATGCGTCATCACAGAATTTGGCATGAAAGCTCTTGCTACTCATTAACTAATCGTGGCAGTAGCTGATGGGCATGGTGATGAAACCAGCGTGCAAACAAACTCTGATTTCGGGTTCGAAAGAAAGACTGGTTATTTGAAATCTCTAATTTTTCACAGTAACTATCCACCTTTGGTACTGTATCGAAGAAAATATGTTTCGCAATCATGAAAGAAAATATTCTCAAGAGAAAGGCGATGTGAAGTAACAAACTTTGGGGGGCGAATTCTCTGAGATGTTCCAAAAGCTGGAGACTTTGCAACCGTTAACTTCGGCTTTCCTTTCTCGTGCTCCATCACTTTAGTCTATTCAGAAATCAGGCTCACTTTCGTAAAGAAATTATACTTTTTAAGTGAATCAGCAACAAGAAAATCGTCTTTAAAGGCCCATATACTTCTTTCACTTCCCTACATGTTGACATGACTTCGCTCTGTATGTTTCACAACCACACATCTAGAGTGAGTAAAGATTATTTACCTCATTAACTGAATTGTTGTTGTGAGTGTGAAATCGTTCGGGAGTTTTCAAATGGAACCTTCGGACTCTTTCGGCCATGGAAACGAAGGGTGAGGCCTGAACAGGTAAGAGGGTCAATGTCGGTAGCAGGTGTACAAAAGACGAGCATCAGTCATCACCTCACAAATCAACAGAAAATGTGATTGATATAAACATATATAAACGGGCGTCGCATAAAGATCTGTAAATTACCTTGTTGGAATCTACAGGATGAGTGTGGGCCCGTTCATCTGTACGAAGCTGGAACTCACGAGGTACCGTCAAGGTAGGAGGATTCTTTGGTCTCGGCAACCTGTCCTTCATGTAGAGAAGCTGCATTAAAGAATACACAAAAAACTTAATAAGCAGTTCCAAGCAGCTATAGTCTGCACGAACAAAATTCGTCCGCTCAGTAACAATTTTGCATTAATCCCTTGTGAACAAGGACCTTATTCCATGTCCAATTTGACCCAATTTCAGACAAAGGTAGCTGCTCTACCATATGTTGAGGTGAGTTTAATACGAGAGAAAAGTTTACAAGTAGGTAGACTCAAGGTCGATACCTTTTGAAGCCGCTCTCCCTCAAGCTTCTGCTTTTTCTCAGGTTGGGCATAAAACTTGAAGCTGGCAATGATCGGCTTCTTGTTGGCTGAAGCCTTCTTACGACCACTTCTGCTGCAGTCACAAAATTATCAAATTTCAGGCACCACAATCGATGCTAAGATTACACTAACTGACGTTTAGAATTTGCCAAATATTTTCAAAGATTTTCATTCATCGGTCATTCGGAGTTTCTCTTTACGAGGTCGCAACAGAGAGAATCACAAGGGTAGTCAGAGAATCGAGGAATCCAATGGCGCACTACAATGTTTCCTTCAATGAGGTTACTCTTTGAAAGGTAACGTCCACAGAGACGCACATCTCATCCTTGCTAGCTAACGAGAGATAGACAAGAAACGTTTGGAACCTGGAAAATGATAGCCTGTTTTTTGATATTGAGCGAGGTGCTTGTTCAGAAGGAGGTTCCTTCCATGCATCTGAATATAATCGCTTGGCTGGCAGACTTCCTGGAGAGATGACGAGCGCTGCTAAGGCTGTAGGAGGGGTTCGATTGGCATTATTTTCTATCACTCCAGTGATTGCGCGACCCACCGGTGTGTATGGTTCTTCTTGAAGGCAATTCGAGGTTGGAACTGAAACGAAAAACCAAACGATTCAACAAATTTTGACACGTGAAGTGCCCAATGAGAACGAGAAGCTATATAATAGGTGCACAAATAAGAATTCCCACACATAAATCTAGCTAATACACCCTTACTGTTCCTTTTCTATCCGAACCTTCAGCGAGGAGGCATCATGATCATCGCCAGGAAATCTTAATGTTTGTCGAACAGAGCTTAAAAATCACATCGATGTCCTGACTTACACTCAACCCCCTCGCTCCATCAATCCATCAATTAGAAAGCTGTGGTACATTAGTCTCTTTGAACTACACCACAAACAGCAGAGAAGGATAAACATGTCTGGTATATTTTCCAGAACAGAGAGCAGAACTGGCATCAGCAGAAGCAACAAGATGAACCAACAATCAGGTCTACAGTGAGTGTAATTCCAAGTGGCGCAATTCAAAGAATCTTAACTTCTTTCAAGTCTTGCTAAAGAAAAGCAGGTAGAGGGCAGACTTACATTTAATGACTACCAGCAAGTCAACAAATTGAATTTTCCACAATTAAAGCAATCACGCAGTGATTCAGCAAGAGATATTACTGCAGTACGCATGCTCTTCTCTACAGGTATCACATGAGTAATTGAAAGTGTATAGAGTTGCAAACCTTTGCATAGCACATCGGTATCTTCTTGACAATCCGCATCCATATCTGCACAATTGGCAGCCTCTTGTGCACAATCTAAAGTCTTTAGATAGCATTCTTCGTTGTAATTATCCGAAAGCTCTTCGGCTCCCAAGAGTGCATTTTTACGGTTCGGCAACGGGGATACGTGAGCTAAAATCTGCCATCAGATATATTACACCTGTATCAGCGGATTTTCACAGCAGATAAGCTCTGAATAGATGATCCAAGCCCAACCAAAGCCCTAGCTGGACAAAAATGTAGCCCTATTTTTCTAGTTATATCGGTCATACATCAAGGGTCGAAAGTGTTTTCAACAAAACTCTCGAACCCAAGAGTATGCCACTGTTCCTGTACGATGACCGCATCAAATGGCAGCTCGTAAACAACGGACGGCTGAGCCTCTATTCAACATTGGTTGATCCTCGTAGTTCCCAACACACCTTAAGTACATACGGGTTCAGCAATACACACACTGCAATCTCTTCAAAAAGCAGCAGATAAAGATATTTTTACGAAGTATCAAAATAAATGTCTGCGTAATGATAGATTGAACGCAGTGTTTGAGCAGACCTGTAATGCCTCAAGTTTGCCACAATGATTTCTCCCCCTTGCAGTGGACTGAAGCTCTGGGATCGATTTTGTTTTAAAAACATGAGCTGACAAATAATCCAACATGAGATATTAGATGACATCTGCGAAATGCAATTAAAATGTGACAAGGAGTAAATGTTGATGGAGTGTAGTGCTAGCTTCAAAACATTTTGAAAGCACATCCAATCAAGGTGATGAATACCCATAGAAATATACTTTCTACTGCATTCTTGCCGCGAATCCACTCAATGTGTTAAACTGAAGCAATGGCAGATGCACCCTCAAAGGTTTCCAAATTGATGAGCAATCAGAATGCCCGACATTCATCCTTTGGGCCCTTTCATTCTAGCGGCAGTACTAGGTGATCATTAAATTAGCTTATTTCTCACCCCTATTAGACTTCCTTTCCGAAGTTCAGCTCGAACATGTAATAAGTGACACTTTCAAGATTCACTTTATTGGGAAATTGATTGGGAAAGAAGGAACACGTACGAGAATTTTCGTACGGTATCGCTAATTCGAACCATCCCTCTGCTGCCAACGCGTCTGCATCTGTCTCTTCATAGGTGAAGTCGTAGTATTTTGGAGCTGAGAATTCATATGTCCAGTCAATGTTCCGAAACGAATCAAACTTGCCAACCTCTGGCTGATCCACACGATCCATAATTTCCTGAAAAAAGCATCTGCAATGTATTAAACCAAAAGAACACCACAGATACGCTAAGCCAACGCTTGCTTACTGATCTACGGTCACCATAATCTCTTTCTGCGTCTAAACGTATGATTGAATACAGTGTGTCGTCGAGTACTTCCTGCAAGTAACACATCAGCATCAACGACTCGGTTTCCTGACCATCTTCTAACTCGTTTACAAGAAATGGCAAACTCCAACTGTGAGGATCTTGACGGCTAATTTTAATTTCTAATTACAAGTTCAAGAACGCTACCAGTCGAATTCAGCTACATAAAATTACCAACTCCAAGCTTATAATTGGTACCATATGACTCCGCCATTACATCCGGAATAGGATTTACAATTCATCAAAGCACCACATTTGATGTCTCATCCTACGTATTTGTAGACCTGAGTGCTCGATTCAGTTGAGCTCATTCATGTATGACAGTTGCAAAGATCAACTATAGCCAAATAAGGAGAGAAAACTGCATATTCCCCCACGCAGAGATTTTCGTAAAGTGTTTCGGGTAGCATAAGGAACTCGCAAGCCGGGTATGGTATGCGACACAAGGACACTCGAATTCATGTATCCCGCCTACAGTAGTGGCTGACATAATCGCTGGGGCTACTTGAGACTACGAATTAAGAATCATTTCACCAAATTAAAAACGACTGAATGGGATCATGGTATAACTAATTTAAAATTATCTTGTTTTAAAAGTGTCTCATAGGAATTGTTTATCTGTTTCGGAATATTAGTTCTGTATGAGAAACCCCTAGCGACTGCAACCCAGATATCCATTAAATTACTTGCTCTTGACCAGTATTTGAAGCGTATGCTCTCTGGTGGAAAATCAATAAAAATAATCACGCAATCGCCTACTACAGGCGGTGCGTACAATAACTAATAACAACATGGACAAGAGTCAGTGAACCAAGGCAACGAAAAGAAGCAGATGCAAAAAAGAATAGCATTCGAACACCAGAATAGAGACACTCGGAGCTGTAATTGAAGACATGTAAATCCTTCAGGAGATAGGATACTGGTACCCGGTGGTGAACTAACTTGACAATGAAACAGCAAAATGTTCCAGACACTACTAATCAGGCCGTCATCATGAAACGTACTTGCCAAGGAAATAAACAAAATGATCACCAGACGAAGGACAACCTCGCGAAACGTGAATCCACCTGAATGGATTCATCCAAAAGAACAAAAAAGACCCTGATCAATCCACAAGCAATTTGAAGCTATTGCCATCTCATAATTCCCTTAGCATCGCGACATTCCACTCAAAATTCCAAGGATAATGAATTGTGTACACAACATACGTTATTTTCGCGCCAAAGTATCTCCAAATAACTGCAGCTGCGGGAGAATCCCCGTCACTGCATCACAACCTCTACTCGCTTTCCATAACGCCAATGCGATTTCGGTTCCAATACATCGTCAAATATACCGCCAACACCACTCCAAAATCCATCCCGGAAACATCAATCGTCACAGCTGTCACGGAGATCCACCATTATACATCGCTGCCGATAATGCTGCACTGAATGCGATCGCACCAGAATAAACTGCACGCACCTGCAACACTACCAAATCTCACCCATACTCTCACCCTCACGATATATCCTCTCCTCTCTACTAAAAACCCTTCAAAAAAACTCCTGATGAATACAAGAAAAGGAAATGTGCGTCAACTCTCGAAGCGCCAAACCAGCACCACCCCGGATCTAGAATGCCCTAGCACAAAACAAGGAGACTTTCCCTCTCAACTTCACCATCGATCAGATAAACCCTTCAGGCAGCTCGTCATTGCGATCACAAAAAAAACAAATCAAACAGAATTCAAGTACACAAAAGGGGCACGCGGGAGACGAGGTCCATGGCGGGAGGATGGCGGCGAGACGAAGCTTGAAAGGGGCTGAGAGCGCGCGGTTCGGGCCGCGCGGTGCGGACATCCCGGAATTTTGAATTTTGTAAATAATCCTCGAAGCTGATGCGAAGGATGCACCCCCAACGTTCGAATGAGGGAGAACCGCACCTAGTGTTACTCCCTCCCAGGGGAACGTAAAAATCATCCTCGGACGATTAATCCGGCGAGGCGTTTCGACGAGGCCTGTTATATGGATGAATGTATCTGTCTTTGGATGAAACATAGGTGGGTATGGGGTATTTGTGGAATCCAAGGATGGGCTCTGATTACTTGTTCTATTTCTAGTTTGAAGTTTAGTGCTGAAGCTCGAATTTGACTGAAGGCTAATTAAAAAAAGAAAAGAAAAAAACACTTTGAATAATTTTAAATTTTATTATGCTCTTAGGATTTAGGGTTATTATTCTGCAAACTTGTTCCCTAGGCTTGTGGGACTTGAATGTGGTGGACCAACTTATCTTAGATTCCTCTTTTTATAATACACACTGCATGCAAAGTTTGTGAAGCTGCCTCTCAGTGTCTTTGGTAGCAATATGCTTTAGTTTTGACAAGCTTTTTACAGTGGTGGATGAAGTGCTAAGTCATCTTATGGATAGTTGAAAAATTCAGGGAATATGCTTCATGCGTGCATATCAATAGTTTAGGTTTCAAATTGGATAAATTTACAGTAAATTGCGTTTTAAAAATTGATTAAAAAAAAATGTTATAGTTCTGCACCAACAATATATATTATCTGTAGAAGGTTCAACAATTCATCAAAATAAAAAGCTTATGTAGCTTGAAACCACCACAAAAAAAGGAAGATTATCATGCCAAAACTGCTGCAAGGCTGGACAAAAAAAAATAAGCATATATATATATATATATATATATATATAAGTATATATATATAAGTATATATATATATATATATATATAGTAATACTTCAAGATATATACATAAAAATATAATAATACTATAGTAATTCTACCATTCTGTTTGTTTCAAAATCACTTTCCTTATTGCATGATTTGTGTTTTTACAACAACCTTGACAACTCCAATTGTCTCCTTTTGGTACAGATGAGCTTCCTATTCTTTAGTGGATGGCAGAAGTGTGGACAATTGAACATTAAATCATAAACCATGTGTGGAACAATCACAACTTAATACAATTTTTGTTCATTGAAGTAAAGATGTAAAATTTAGAATACATTCCATACATTAATAGGGCCACGTAAAAAATTTCACAAAACAAAATAAGTATTTTCTTCTTACCATGAATTGATGCAATTGAGGAACAAGGTATGGAAACATTTAAGTTCTTTACTGAAGATGATAGTATTATAACAAAGGATAAACTTTTGAGGAAAACCCATTCCTTTTAAAATTATAAAAACGTAATATAAAAACAAGAAAAGCATCATACAAGGAAATGAGGGATATTTAGTTGTGAAGATTAAATCCAAACGTTAAATTGTAAAAACATAAACACAGTTCCAATCAAGCACAATTAAACATGATCAGAATAACGTTACTTTAACTTAAACACTGCACCACAGCTGATATAAATTAAATTTTCACATAAGAATAAACTTACAAACTAATTATTTTCAAAAAAGAGAGGCTAAATTAGCATTTATTCATTGAAAACGAACAATCAATAGTGTATCATGCAATGGGATCATCCACGAGCTAACTAATTACACACCAAATTTCACAAATGATCTTTTGAAATGAAATGATATAAAATCACCAAAAAAAATCCGAAATTTTCGAGCCAATTAATATAACACATCTTTTTGAACAATTCTCAGGCTTAGGTTGGAGAAGTGGATCTCGTACTTATCGATCCCCCACTAGTCCGCTGGATGTGAACACACTCTCACGAACTGTGGTTTAGTTCAATCTATTTGGGTGTGTCACATTTTTTTGTGTTTGTCACTTGCTTTGTAGTAAATTTGAAGGAAGTTTATAAAGGTGGGAAGATAAATATTTAAGTAGTTTTTCAATCATTTTAGCTACCATTTTAAGATTATTAAAATATTTTTAAAAAGAAAAAAAAATTACATATATACATACAAACACTATAAGAGAATTAATAATTGATATGTAAAATTTTTTAATTCTACCATTATGTTTTAGTAATTATTATTAGTAAAAAATTCACATGTATGCAATGTTTATAATGGTTTTTAAGCTTCATGAGATACTTTTAAGATCATTCATAGTATAAAGATGACAAAGATTTATTTTTTATTAATATATTTTTTGTAGTTATATATTATATCTTATTCTTTTGATCTAAAATGTAGAATTTTACTCTTGTTTGATATTTTAATTCTTTTTTAAAGAGGCTAAAAAATAAGATTGAACATCACTCTTATAGTATTGCAATTTTTCTATTTGATAAGCAATTAGAGCATCTTCTAGATATTCTTTAAGAAGTTTAGCAATTTCAATGCATAACTTGATAAAATAGTAAATTTATATATATTTTTTTTATTTATTTTTATTATTGGAATTTAATAAAATAATAAAATAATAAATAATAAATAATAAATAAATAATATTTTATAAAAACAATTACTTAAATTTTTTAATTTTTTTTATTCTATGAAAGAAAAATAAAATATAGTTAAAGGAGGTCATTTTGGCTCTCTTATTTATTAAGATAAAAAAACCTTTCAAATTACAAAACATTTTAATTTTCAAGATGTAACAAACTTCTTTCCTTATTCATAGAAAATAAATGGCAAGGTTTCTAGAGTAGTTTATGTGATGATGAAGAACTAGATGACTACAAAATTATCTAAACATGTAAAAAACACATTCACAAGTAGAGCTATTGTTGTATCCACTCAAGAAGCCTATTCAAAAAATATACCTTAGTTGTGACGTTCTTAACTAGACAATATGATTAAACAAGAATTAATAAAATAACTCAACTATTAATTTTTGTAAAAAAATATATTCTTACATGATATATTTTGTAAAATTTGTGATATTATTCAAGAAAGAATAAATTACTTAAAAAAATTGATCAAATTTTTATATCATAAATTCTTTTTATTATTTAATTATTAATAAATAAATAATTAATTTTGAAAGTAAAAAAATATCCTTCAAATTCTTACTAAATAATCTAATTTTTGAAATTAACCAATCATTTTCAAAAGTAAATCTTATTCTTTAAAACCTAAAATCTTTGGATTTTATTCTAAAAAAATAAATTAAATTTATAAAATATAAATTTGAGAGAATTAGAAAAAAAATATAGTTTTAATGCTAAAATATGTATTTAAAACATTAAATATATGTCTTCTATCAAATAATTACATATAAAATTTCTTATTGTATAACTAAAATTTTAACTAAGAAAACATTGTAATTCTTGATTTTAAGTTATTACCTTTTGATAAAAATTTAAATTATAATATTTGATCAATATATAAAATTAATATTAATTAACTATCTATTTTATTTAAAAAAATATGATTAAATATCATAAAGATATTTATATATCAATTTATTTATTATTATAAATATACAAGTGATTATTTTATATTTTTATATTTTAAATTAAACATGTATATATATTAGTTATATATTTTTATTATTAATCTTTATAATTTTAAGTTCATTTTTTTTTTCCAAGACTCATTAATTTGTATTACATAAAAAAGAATTTATCAAAATTCTACAAACGGTTTAAATGTTTTCTTTCAAAATATTTAAAGTATATATATATATATATATATATATATATATATATATTTAATTATTTTATATCTATTTTATAATTAAAATACAAAGATATACAATTTAATATGATTGATTACTTTTTGACTATTATTTATTTAAACTTAAAGAATTTTATTATGTGCTTAAAGACTCTTATTAATTTGACTTGCTAAAAAATAATAGTACCAATAATATGGTATTATTTTTATTTTAAAATATCAAAAGTATTATATTTTTTTTAAAAATAAAAATGATATTTTAACAAAAAATCTTATAAAAGTTTTTATAATAGTTTTGAAACATTAAAGCTATTTATATAATTTAACTAAATATTAGTTTAAAGTTCTATGTAGGTTGTAAACTAATTCAAATAATTAATAATAAAAAAACATGATTTATCTTCTTCTAGCTGATGATATGTATAGTAATATATTTTTAAAAAAATTAGGAAATAATTCTATAATTTTTTAGTCTGTATAATTATTATTTCTATTCTAAATTTTATACTTGAGTATTCTTTAGATTTCATATAAAATAAACTCTCTTATATATTTATTCATCCTTAGTATTAAAGTTTTTAGAGATTTAAGATTTTTTTTCTTTGTAAAGTATGTAATCTTTTATAATTAAAGGTTAAAAAAATAAAAGCTATATATTTTATAATAATATTATTTCAACTTGGATTCTTTATTTTTTATTTAATTATATATTAAAGGTATGATTTTAAAATGATAAAGTTATTTTAGGATGTCAATATAATTTTACTATCTAAGGTTATTGTCAAGGAAATGAACTAAAAGAAGAGGCATAAATCTGAGAAATCTGTATCTAAAGAAAAGTGAAAAAATAGGAATAAAGTAGTATGTATATTAAAATGAAACTGAAATGGCTATTGCCTAAAGACAAGGAAACTAGAGACTCTTCAATCCAGACTAGAAGCAAAAAAGGAATTGACAAGAATGAAGAAGGCTTCAATCTTGCCTCTATATATACTATCTATCTAGGATCTATGTAGCAATATTCTATAGGACCTCTAAAAACGTATTGACTTTGCATGACACGTATTTTAACTAGGAAGGTAAGTTTTATATATGGTCGCTTTATAATTAGCTTGTTCCACAAGCTACCAATATATGTAGCATATGAATAGCTTGTTGACCAAGTTTCTAACCTACTAATCAACTATAAACATATGTGAAGTCAAAACAACATCTAAGAAGCTTCTAAGAGGTTTTTTTAGAAGATGTTATGAAATTAATCTATTTTTATT